TATTATTATAGCAGAGAGAGAGAAATAGAATTTGGGCTATGAAACAGTAAATGCAGTTTTTCCGAAACAGAGCTCTTAACTTATAGCAGCCTGGTAGGGTAAAGTCTGGAGTATAGGTCAGGTTAGATACCGTAAACTAGAACTCTGTGGAGGAGTGCTGGGAAGAGAAACACTTCTATAACTTAAGTTGTGCCCATTTGAACCAGTGGTTCCTAGTGAAGATGCATTCAGCTTGGCAGTTCTTAAGTTTGGCATAACCCTAAGCAGCAAATGGAAATACATGTGTCGTCTTTTAGTATCCTGACAAGGCTTTGCATTTGTGTCTTTGTCTGCATGAAGAAAGGGGTAGGGGTAGGTCTGTCTGAAAGTGTAATGTTTATTAAATAGGTGGCAGTGGAGATGACAGTCAACATGATTCTTTTGGCTTCTAGCAGTATTATTCTGTAGGATGAAATACAAGAAAAAAGGATAACCTGGCTTAGTTCACAGGGAGTGACCATATTGCGGATTTCTCACTGTGACCATGTCCTAGGCTGATGTGCTTTGTCTTCCCCACTGGTCTCTCAAATGCTCTGATTCTTTCCCCCCAGTTCATGGTTCAGGCAAACATGGTTTTTCTGTAGATCCAAATTGGGCAAACCATAGTTTGCTTCTAAACCAGATTCCGAACTGTCCTTTGAACTGTGTTCACATGGGTAAACTAAACCATCGAATCCTCACCATTTTGATGGAAATACTTTTTTAAACGTAAAATAAGTAAGAATTCAAGTCAGTCTCTGTTAAAAGTGGTCTTTCAGAAGAGTGCTGCACTTGCTTCATTGCATTTATTTACCACTTTTTGCATACATCTAAATGTAATGTCAGTGGCCAAGTGAATCTTCATGCTGTGCAATACATTTTACTATGCTTGTCATGCTAATTTTATTTATGCATAATTAATATAATTCATGAGCAGTTGATGTTGCCAGTGGAGACCAGTTTTCTGAGCAAGGCACCTTCTCTCATTGAATCGTGAATTACCAATGACAGAATGGACTTGCTTTAGATTTGGTTAAGTAGCTATACATTTTTCATGACCTCACAGATTTTATTCTTTGTTAGATAGTCCTCACAGATGGTGGGAATTTAGCATGGAAGGCTGAGCACCTACTTGGCAAATAGAGTAAACATGAAATTTTCATAGTGTGACTCCTGGTTTTTACTGTCATTATTTGGAGGCATCTCAGACAGACAGACAGACAGACAGACAGACAGACAGACAGACAGACAGACAGAGCTTTCTGATATTTGTCAATTTTATTTTTCTTTTTATCTTCTGTGTTATTCCTGTTAAAGTTCCCTCTTTTCTTTTCACCCAAGGCAAAGCTTGGCTTACAAGGTAAAATGCATGTTCTTTGACCATTGCATTTGATCACCTGCTGCATTCCACATTAGTGAACATGTTTTTCTCTCCACGTTTAGAGAATGGTCTTATGTATACATTTGGGGATGGACGGCATGGCAAGTTAGGACTTGGGGAAGAAAATTATACCAATCATTTTGTACCTACGTTATGTTCCAATTTTATGCGATATACTGTACATTCGGTAAGGAAGCCACTTTTTCTTCTTCCCCTGGAATATCTTGTTATGCTATATGTTTAATTTAGAGGAACCCAAACTGTATAAGCTTATCTATATGCTGTGCAACATTACATTCTTTAATTATACATGAGCGCTGAAGAAAGTTGAAAATCCTATGATGACCAGTTTATCATTTGTTCTTCTGTTTAGATTTGTACGGACATGCTTCTTTGTGTATAAGCAAAGAGAATTGTGTACAGTAGAAAATACTTCAAAGAAATATGTACCTTTAAACATAACTCTAAGATGCAGAGCATTCTGTTCCTCATGTTAAAGCCTCCTTGCATCTTTTGGGTTTTTGACATACTCCTTGATGAACATTTGCAGACCAGTCCTAACTGAAAGATTTGACTTGATTAGGAATAAACAGAAGTCTTTTCTGCTGGCACAGCTGCCTTTGTGACTGCAAAAATGTCCTTCTGCCAGCTGATCTGAGAGATCTGCCAACGCAGGGATTTACTTGCTCTGCCAGTGAAGATATGCTGGCAGAAGAGCAAAAACATAGTGGAAAGGGGGCAGACCAAGGGGGATGCTGAGATATGCCAGTTCCAAACTTTTTCCAATTTCAGGAAAAAAAACCCACTGTGCTGGCACAAAACTAGGCCAAGGTGTGATGGTGAAAAATGCGTAATACAAACTAAAAACATTTCTGAAAACTCTTCTCTGGTCTTTTAATAGAATATTTTAATCTCATATTGTTGGTTTTGCTAAAAACGCTGTGCAAAAATAACCTTGGAAATAATTTTTCAGTTGCAGTGTGTTGAGACGTGAAAACTATGACATCTGTGCTTGTTCACCGATACAGTTAGACTTAGACTCCCTCTCCCTAAGTATCTTCCAAACTGAATGTCTCCATTAGCATTATCAATGGTTTCATGTCTCTTTTGGTCACAGGTTGCCTGTGGTGGTTGTCACATGCTAGTTTTTGCCACACCAAGGCTTAAAGAATCAGATGAAACAAATGTGCTGGATCAAAAAGAACACTGCACTTCTACTGCGATCTCCAGAATGGGTGGTGATGCCTTAATAATAGACACCTTTCATCGAACACTATCAGCACGTGTCCGACGGCGAGAGAAGGTAATTTATTTATAGTTTCTAACTACCTTTAACATAGTGTAAAGGAGCATACAGATATGAAATGGAAATGCAAGGAATGTGGTCTTCCTTCCCTGAAACTTTTCTTTTTTTCAAAACATTTATTTGTTTAGTTATTTGTTTATTTATTTAGTGGAATTCTTTAACCTCAACTTAAGGGGATGTCTACTGGTCTTAAATTTGGCCTGGAAAACTCAATGCATGAGGTTCTGATCCTTATTGTATGTTTTAAAATGTGACTGTCCAGATGTTGTCAGGCAGCAATTCCCAGTGTTCCTTATACTGTCGGCTATGCTAGCAACAGCTGATGTGGGAAAGGCTGCACTTTGTCCACCCTGACTGAAACTAATACTTTCAAAGCAACTGGACAGACTATGCACAGATTATTCAGCATCTATTCCAGGAAAATGCAGTTCAAATGCTGGCTGTCGTACTTCACTGTTTACTTCTTAAGCCGACTTAAAGGTTGCTCTGTTTTCTCCTAATTCTTCCCCAAGAAAAAATCACCAGAACAGTTCAATCGACTAGTACAAACGCTCCCTCCTTTGGGAGAACGTTCCCTAAAGCCTGCATCATGTGACATCAGCAAGACTGTCCCTTTTGTTATATCTAGAACAAACTACTCTGATTCAGAAGCAACAGAAAGAGAAAAAGACACTGTTTCTGCATTGGACTATGAATTGGGTGAGCTACATTTTACACACTGCCTTCACCATTCCTTACTTGCATGTATTCTAAAGGGATAACCATGTTAGTTTGTTGCAGAAGAAGCAACAATGAGTCATATAGTACCGCAACGACTAATGCATTCATTATAGCATGATTTTTTTCATGGGCTGGTATCCCCAGCTGTATGAGGTGTTACAACCAGAATCACAGATATTAAAAAAGTCCATGTGGTGGTGGGAATTGTAAACAGTAAGGTCAAATGAAAATTCAATGTAGAAAGTGCCGGTGGTGACATTATTAACGACTGCCATTAACAAAACAAACATTCTGTTTCTTGGTAAACTAATGACTACATCTTTTGTGAAAAGAAATGGTTTATAATTCTCGTGATAGACTGGAATTTCTCAGTAAATTATAACTCAGCAATCTCTTGCTTTCACCTTCCAAGTCAATGAGGGAGTGCCTGGCATGGTGAAATGTTCTACTGTGCTTTAAATATTACATTTTTCTGATAGATTTGTATCCATCTGTTTGCCTGTGAAAATTTGTTTGATTTAGGCAAAATGCAAAAAGGCTTTCCCGATAGAAAGTAACATCTAGACTAGAAATTATGTGGTAGGTTACAAGTAGAGCAAGCGCGTTGACTCAATGGGCATTTGATAGGTCAACTCCTCCTTGTTCTCTTGATTCAGTGATTATACTCTAGTTGTGACTTGCTACTGCATTTCAGCTGTAATATTGGAGAAATATAGTGTGTACCACAGTTGGACATGTGCAAGTGAATGAATCCCTAATGTTCCCACACTGATTTTTCCATAAAATTAGCCACTCACCGTTACAAGCTAGTATTTGCTCAATGGAGAAAGCAAATATATGAGTAGGCATAAATAATCAGCTTCCATCCATCATTTCGGATGTTACCTGATTTCACACATTGTACTTACTGAATCAAAATTACTTCTCTCAGTTGGAACTGCCGAGGATCTTTTGTACTTCAATTCTGTCACAATCAAGGCTATCCAGGTTTCTTTTTTCACTGGGGAAAAAAATCCCTATTTCTTATCTATATCTTGGATTTTGTTTTAAAGGAGATAAGAAAGAGAAGAATGGTAGTACTGGGGAGAGTTCAACAGAGGATGATTCAGATGAAAATGAGAGCAGAACTCTGGGGGACACCACAGATGTCTTGAATATGGTAATACATCTACTAGTCATGATTCTATGCTTTGAATAGACTTTGGAAGAAGTCATTTTGCTGTATTATAGCTTTCACATGGGTTTATTACCATATGAAACAGTCACAGAATTTTGCTGTCTCAAAATGTATCTTGATTTGTGGCACCTGTTAGATCAATGGAGAGAATTTCATTGTCCTTAGCTTTTTAGGGTCATGGATAACTCCACTTCCTTCTGTCTCTTGAAATCTGAAATTGCTGCTGTTCTTCATGCAGCTGCAGTAAATTGCTTGTAATGTTCAAAGCAATATACAGTATTAGCTCTTTTAGCTTGTTACAAGTAAAGCACATTCTCCTCAAGAGCATCTTGGCTCCTGTTGTATTAATGCTCTTAAAATATACATTCATGGCTGTTCTGACTCTCCTGGATGGTATTTCCATTTCTCAGTCCTGTTGTGTTCATTAAAAGTGTGGAATGTTTTGCTGAAATCAGTGTTGTTTACTGGGTCTGCTCAGAAGGCACAATAAGCTAAAATTCTAGAATTGGAGTGCATACTGCCCCATTACAAACCACAGATTGCTTTCCCCACCTGTAGTTTGTGGCATCTATACGACTTTTGATGCAATGTTTTAATATTAAGTTATTTTTCTGTATTCTAGCTTTGAGTGTTTTATCTGTACTTTTCACATTAATCATGTTGTGAATCACCTTTAGTCACAGCATGGGGAAAAGTCAATGGGATACATAAATCAACCAAAGAAATAAAACAGGCATGTTTGCTTGCCTGACCCTAATCCAGCCAAAGTCTTGTCCTATAGTTTGCTCACAATTGCAGCTGGAGTGGTTGGATAGCATTTACTGACATGCACCATCCTTCCCAAGAAACCAAACTTCTAAACATTTCTGACTTTACCTTCAATTTTCTGTTAATCTATGTTTAGAATTATGTTTAAAACTTGAATTATGGTTAAACTTAACCATGGTTTATTGTCACACACTTTATTGTCATGAAGCTCTCTGCATAAACCACAATTTGGAATTAGCTTATTAAACATAATGAAGACTAATTACTAGTCATCAAGGTTAGGAGATAACATTAAAATCAAAATGAAAGCTTTAGATAGCCTTTTGAATGTGCAAGAGGAGGAAAATGGAAACGGAAGAACATGAGATTTATTTGCATAGTGCAAAATAATAGTGTAATTTCTCTCTCCAGATAAAACCAATGAATCTACTGCAATTCTGCTAGGGTCTTGGCATAGTATTTGGATGGTGTGAACAATTTAAAATATATTTAATTCTGGATTAATGTAGAACAGTCTCCAGTTACCAGATGGAAGGTCCCAATAACGGGTGTAGGAAAGACCTCCACCAGTAATCCTGGAGAGCCACTGTCAGTCAAAATAGACAACACTGGGCCAAATTGGAAAATGGATCTGCCATTGGACAATTTTGTACTTTCATGTAATATTGGTGTTTTAGGGAAGATGCAAATTGTTCTAAAGGTTGTTGTGGGTTTTTCGGGCTCTTTGGCCGTGTTCTGAAGGTTGTTCTTCCTAACGTTTCGCCAGTCTCTGTGGCCGGCATCTTCAGAGGACAGCACTCTGCCGGCCACAGAGACTGGTGAAACATTAGGAACAACAACCTTCAGAACATGGTCAAAGAACCCAAAAAACCCACAACAACCATTAGATCCCAGCTGTGAAAGCCTTCGCGAAAACATGTTCTAAAGATCTTCTATAGGAAAGCAGGCTGTATGAATGTGAATGCTTATTTTCCTAGTTGTTGTTACTTACTGTTCTTATCAACACATTTTTCAGACCCATTTGATGAGAATGAATCCCAATGACCAGTCATTAGAATTAGCACCACTTCAAAAACAAAAGGTACTGTCAATTTGTGTCTGTATTTTCTTTAAATGGTTATAGATTTTTCATGGTAAAAAATAGCTCCCCTTCTTAGATGCATACCTTAATGTGGTGAAGGGGTTTGAGTGTGAAGCTGAGAGCAATACTGTCAGGATGCCATATGCCATTACAAGCCTGGACTCCTAGCAGGGTCACCTAAGACAGAATGGTTATAGCTGAGACACCAGACTAAGATGCTCCGCCCTCTTCAAGGCAGCTATTGGGAAGTGGCTGTCACTGAAGATGGCACTGGCAGAGGTGGCAACAGTGGTCACACTCAAGCTAATTGTTATTAGTACTGCACAGAAGGTGGCAATGGTTTCGCAGATTGAAAAACACTCAGTCAGCAAGTATGGATAGCTCTGTTGCTAGATTAAAACCAAAAGGATGTCTAGGGGCTGACGTGCACAGACATGAAAAGAAAGTTGAATGCTGCACAACACATGCAGTTGGAATACAGAATGTGAGAAGTATGAATCAACTTAGACTGGAAACTGTAAAGCAAGAAATGGAACATATAAACTTTTCATTGTTTGGTATCAGTGAACTAAAGTGAACTGGAATGGGATATTTTCAGCCAGACAAGTATAAAGTATTATATTTTGGAAATAACGTATGTGAAAGAAATGAAATGGCTCTAATGTTGAGGTAAGATATAGCATAAACAGTTAGGGGCTATAGTACAAGGTGTAACCAAATACAGTAATATCAATTAGACTCAGTGGAAAACCAATGAACATAACCACCATATTACCTACAGCACGTTAAGAAAACTTTATGTGAATACCAATAAGATCCTGACCATTGTAAAATAAATTTACAGTTACCCATGTAGCTCACATTGGAATCATTACTGACATGAGGCTCTGGAAGCCACTTGAATAATTACACAATACCATGTATTTATTTTCTAGTACTGTGCAGAAGTACTATAGGCAAAGGAGTCGGACAATGGTGCATTTTATCCCCTTATCTATTCAATCTGTATGCAAATGTGTCCTAGAGTAAATAAAGCTTGAACTATATTTAGAGGCAAAATGTTGAAACTGATGCTGTCCTACTTTGGACAGATCATGAGGAGGCAAGATTCTCTGGAAAAGACAATAAGGCTGGGAAAGGTGGAAGGAGCAAGAAAAGAGGAAGACCAAATACGAGATGGATTGAGTCCCTAAAGGAAGCCACAGGCATGAGTTTGTAAGAACTGAGCAAGGCTGTTGAGAGCAAGACATTCTGGAGATGGTTCATTCATAGGGTTGCCATAAGTTGGAGGTGACTTGAGGGCTCATAATAACAACAGAAGTTAACTACATTAATGAGAACAATTAATCTAGTTAATTATAGCATTTAAAACAGCTGAATTCTGTATATCTTTCCAATAATAGTTAGAACCAATCACAGGCATCTTTTGATTTAGGCACTGTCAGGTAGATTTTTCCACACTCACAGTTCATGTAAACTAATATTTTCAAAATATGTCCTGTGCTGAACTGTACATTTTTGCTCAGTTGAAATCAAGACAGGCAGCTAAAGCAGATCATCTTTTTTATTTCAGCATGAGTCAACACACTGTAGGACTTAACATCTTTTTCTGTTGTAGATATTACGGCAATGGCTTGAGAATGTAGCACCATGCCTACATGTGGTGCAAATACAAAATAAAGCAGAAGAAACACAAGGTGGTCTTTTTGCACAGTGTGGTCTGCTGAAATCATCGCTCCTATTTTCCATCATAAAATGAAAATAGGACAAAGCAAGAAAATCTTTTAATATATTTGGCAAGCAGGTGTTCCTTTGCATTACACAACATTATGAACATCTTGAGGGAAAATATTGTTTGCTTCATTTTATTTAGAAATTTTGCAAAGAACAGTGGCCATGTTCTAGTCCCCAAAGAGCCTTGTTAAGGTCAGTGAAAAAGTTAAGCATGCAATTAATGTCTCTCTTATTGGTATCTGTGACACTTTAGAGTGTATTGCCTAAATCAGTGATTCTTAAGCTTGGGTAACCCAGGTATTCTTGAACTGCAGTTCCCAGAAACCCTGGCCAGCTCAACTAGCTGTGAAGGCTTCTGGGAATTGCAGTCCAAGAACACCGGGTGACCCAGCTTGGGAATCATGGGCTAAATTCTCTAGGTAGTCTCAGCAAGAATAGTTCCACTGAACAAAATACTGCCTGGTATGTCAGCACTTACTTAAATTCTTTTGATTAAATGGGTGTACTTTAGTTAAGAGTACCAGTTTGATACAGGACTATCAACTGGTTTTGTGTGCAGAAAATCATTTCACCTAGTTTTAATACAGATTGTAAACCTGTAGGAAAAAAGAGATGTATGTATAGCAACTCAAAAGGTAGCTCTTTATGAGCAATGGAGTTTGTGCTTAGAACTGTTTTTTTTTTCATTCAAATGAGTGGTCAAGCCAACTTTTGTGTAGAAGCCAAGTGTTTCATGTGAGATATCTACTTTACGTTAGTGTATCTGACAAATATGCTGTGTATATAAAAATAAATGAAAAATGTAGGAGTTAGAATGTTAATTTCCATACCTTGAGGTGTAGATGGGCAAGCCCCAGAGGTCCAGGGGGGACAAGCCACAGGATCAACTGAGGCTGCATGAGCTGCAAACCGACAGGAACAGAAATGAAACAGAAGTCAATTTCCAGTTTTGTGAAAGAGGTGGTGGTGGAAGCAAAGTACAGAGAGAGAGAGAGAGAGAGATCTTTTATGGCAAAATCTCAACTCAAGTGTAATGGTGACCATTTTCGGCAAAGGGCTCTGAGGGTCCAAGAGGAAACCAGGGTCGCTTGCAGCTTGAGCATTGCACATTGCTTACCCCTGTTCTAAAACACTGGCAGTAAAATAGAGATATGTACCATCACAATGAGAAATAATGCATTTCATTGTAACTATAAAAATTAGAAAGACCTGAATTTATTTACTCTGGTGTGTGAATTGGAGGGATAGAGCCAAAGGTGTCTTTTTGCCCATCATGTTAAACAAAGCCCCCTCTCCCTTTTACTCACTTCTCCCTCATTACAATCCCTTAAGTATGCTCCTGGATTTGGGAAGGGGCACTTGCGGGGGAGTTGGGAAAGAGCAGCCAGGTGAAGTTCTTTCTCAGTCTAGCCCCCCTCCTCCTGCATTTACACCTATTTTCCATCATGTTAAACCATTTATCTGTCCTTTTCATGATTGAATTTGTTTGTCATCTTGTTTGTTCTCTGTTCTTAATTTTTTCTCTCTTTTTTTCCTTTCCTTTCTTGCTTCTCATGTGGAGAAGAAGAAAAATAAGAAACTGAACATACATGGTAAGGGTGGGTTGAAAAAACTTGATATTGCCCAAGTTCAAGACAGTTTGGAATCAGGTAAAGCTTCATCACAGATAGAACCCCTGCATTCAGAGTGTTCTGAAGCAAGGGATACCTATGCAGAAAAAAACTATTATCACACTTTTGTGAAGAAAATTAAAGGTGGCAAAAAATATTCAAAAAGTAAATTTGAACAGGCCATTGCTGTTCTGGAATCTGACACACAGGAGACTATTGAAGAAAAATTTAAGCAAGTAACAAGGGAGAGACTGGATGGAAAATATTCTCAGTCAGCAAAAAAGAAGACACCATGTAGCCTTGGTAGACATGATAAGATAGAAGAACTATATGTTGATAATCTGGAAAATAAAACTGAAATTAACAGAATGAAGTTTGAGAAATATGGGAAAATAGATGTTCAAGGTAAAGAAAGCAATGAAGAACAGAGACAATTTAAACCCAAAGAAAAATGTGTGAAACAAATGGCAAAAAGTGTGTCATCTTCTTCAAGCGAAGAAACAAGTAATGGCTCGACAAGATGTCTTATCCAAATAAACCAGTATAATTATGAAACCAGAACAATGAGAGAAACGGAAGTAGAATACAGAAAAAGTAAGTGGGAAAAGGAGGAAGAAAGGGAGCATGCTGAAGATACCAGTGTGGAGGTCAAGAAAGAAGGGAGGACAGCAATAGATAAAAAATCATATAAGGCTGTCCAGTTAGAAGATGATGACGCAGAAAGTAAGCAGGGCAGTGAAAAAAGTGAGATGGTTGTGGAAGAGGTGGAAAATGAAGATGAAAATCAAGCTGAAAAGGTTGACAGTGAAGAACGATCTGAAGGAGAAGGTGAAAATGAGGCTGGAAAGGACAGTAAAGAAGATGCCACCCCAGCCGTGCATGGAGATGATGAAGAAGGTGAAAACGATGAATTGCAGGCGGTAACAGCAGATGGTCCTAGGGTGGATGATGCAGTGGAAGAGACTCTTAAAGTAAGCACCGAGAGGAAAGAAGATACAGATGCAGAAGAGGAGGAAGAGGAAGATGAAGGGGTCATAGATGAACTTGAAAAGAAAGAAAAATCTGAAAATGTGGAGGAGGGTAAAGTAACAAAAGCTGACACATTAGAGGAGGAACAAAATAGGAATGGGCGGGTAATAGATGAGGAAAAGGAGGTGAAGAAGAGTGGAGAAGGGAGTGAAGCTGAGAAGGAAAATGGAGAAGGAAAGAAAGATGAGGAAGAATATGGTGAAAGAGAAGAGGAAGGGGAGGAGGAGGAGGGGTTTGGGGAAGAGGAGGAGGAAGAAACAGGAGAGGAGGAAGAGGAAGAGGAGAAGGAAACAGGAGAGGAGAAAGAGGAGGAGGAGGAAACAGGACAGGAGGAGGAGGGGGAAGAAGAAGAAACAGGAGAAGAGGAGCAAGAAGAAGAAACAGGAGAGGAAGAGAAGCAAGAAGAAGAAACAGGAGAGGAAGAGGAGCAAGAAGAAGAAACAGGAGAGGAAGAGGAGCAAGAAGAAGAAACAGGAGAAGAAGAGGAGCAAGAAGAAGATACAGGAGAGGAAGAGGAGCAAGAAGAAGAAGGGGTGGAGGAGGAGCAAGAAGAAGAAGGGGTAGAGAATGAACATGAAGGAGAGGAGGAGGAGGAGCAAGAAGAAGACAAAGGTGAAGGTATGGTAGAAGAAGAAGAGAAAAAGGAGGAAGAAGTTGAGGAGGAGGAAGAAGAAGAAGCTCAGGGAGAGGAAGAAAAGGAGGAAGGGGGAGAAAAAGTGAAAGAGGAAGATGCAAAAGAAGGAGAGGGGGGAGAAGAAGTGGAGGACAAATCAGAAGCTGAAGAAGGCGAGGAGGAGGAGGAGGAAGAAGCAGAGGAGGAGGAGGAGGGTGAAGAGGAGGAGGCAAAAGACAAAAGAGAAATTGGAAAAGATGAGCATGAAGAGGAAGAAAAAGTAGACAAGAAAACCAGAGATCGTAAACATCAAGAAAATAATAGAAGTAGAAAACAGGAGACAAGTAAAAGGTCTAAACAAAGAGGGATTTCAAAGCAACATGCCATGAATGGACTGCAGCATTCACAACAATTCTGGAACAATGTGCTGCCACATTACTTGACACTAAGGTAGCTCCGGACCTGAATTTGATGCAGACTTTTTTTTTCAGAACACTAATATTATGCCAAAGTATAATTTTAAATATGTTTTTGCAAAAGCAAATGCAGCAGTAACATTTTATAAGAATGCCTCAATTTTCAGCTGTTAAAAGCACATTAAAAGTAGTTCTGCTCAGAACAATCTGCCCTCCAGTCCCAAAATTTGCCTTTGCAAATTAGTGCAGTGTTGCTGTTCTTCTTCTTCTAATCATGATCATCATTATTGTCCTACATGCCCAAAGGAGCAGGATTGGTATAGAGAATTTCCCATGGCAATTTTTCCCCACTTGAAGAAAAAATACTCTACACATTTCTATTTGAATAAATTATCTGCATGCAAGCTGGCTTTCTCAGATTTGTAATTAGCCACTGGCCTGGTCTGGGTTTAAATTTCCTGTAGCAGTTCTTGTTACTATAGTTCTTGTTACTATAGGTGTACACTTCCTTCTGCACTGCCAGTGCTTTATGTTGATTCAAAGCTATAGATGTTATAATAATACCAATATTTCCCATTGATATAGAATGCTGTATACTTAATTCACTACAGCCCTATAAAATAGCTTGGTATTATTCTCCACATTTTATTGGGAGGAGGGACTAAGACTGAAAGGAGAGGGGCTTGCTTACAGCAACCCACCTATTTTGTTCATAGGAGAAGTTAGGACTTCCTGATCTGAAGTTCAAATTCTTAGCATGCTGTGTTACATAATGAAAGCATCTGTAGCTTTCTCTTCTTGCCTCTTCATTATATGGAGCTGATGCTACCAGCTCTATCTCACAGGGAGACAGAGTCTTCTTTCCACAGGTAAATGCTGTTGTAAATGCTGCTGATGCCATCAGCAGGTGAGGTTAATCTTCAATTCAGTTCAGTTCATTACACTTATATCCCACCTATATAGAGGCATTGCCACTATTCTGGGTGGCTTACATACATAAAAAATAAACATAAAAACACCAACCCTCACCAACTAGACCTCTCAACAAAGAGAAAATGCCCAGAAAGAAACATCGCCGAGTGGCAACAGAAGTCAGAAACCAAATTAAATGTAGCAACGTAATAAGGTATCATTTGGGGAGGATATCTTTGAAAGCTTCTCTGAAAAGCAGAGAAAACAGATTTTCTAAATGCTAGGAAGGAAGAGGCCTGGCACACTCCTGCTGGCAGGGCATTCCATAATGTAGCAGCCACCACCAAGAAGGCCTGGTTCCTCATTGTCAACTTCCGGCCTTCCCTCAGGGAGATAGCCTGCGACATCATAACTTGAGGGATATTTAATACTTACTGTCCTTCCCTTTAGGTTCCTGAAGCTGTGAAGATTGAGACTGGCAGTGGCAATTTTCAGATGTTAACAGTCTGTCCCATGTTCTGAGGTTCCCAAAAGCTTCCCAAGATCAAAGCAAGATCTTTAAGGAGCCTCAGAACCTGAGGGAAAGAATAGAAGAAATTAAATATTAATTTTGCTTGTTGATAGCATCATCAGCATTTACAGTATAATGCACAGCTTAGCCTATAGGATTTCAAACAATGTGCTTTCCATTATCATTTGTGAAAAACACATTCCTATAAACACAAAATGCAGTCAGTTTAATTTATTTAATGTGCCTTATAATAAAAATCAAAAGCAAGATCAGATATTTAAAAATATGCCGTTGCTTTAATTCTGCTTGATCATTCTTAGATATGCACAGTATGTGTGTATGTTAGTGTGTGTCATGTGTCTTGGATGTTATGTTTGTCTTAAAAGAAGTAAACATGCCAGTTTGGGGTCATTGTTACCTAACTCAGGCATAAAATGTTTGTGGAAAGCTCCCTTACCTGGGACAGCTCAGGATGTCACAGCCCCATGACAATCATGTCCGTGTCCCAGGTGCTATGTACGTTGGCTTTTGCGAGCCAACATTTGTTTTCAAACAGTGGTAAAGAAAGAAGAAACACAGGACTTGAGTAATGTAATCATTTAGCTATTTAAATAATGACTTTTAAAACAGCTATTTAAAGTGTTGGTGAATTTGGGCTAACTGATTTTAACAAAGTATTTCCAAGCTTTTGAAGGACCACAGAAAAGGCTGGTGAAGCTTTTCCCAACCCTCACCTTCAGATGGCTACAGCCCACTACTTCAAGCAGTTTTCCATGGCTGTAACACCATTAACAGAGTGTAGTGATAGACAGCAGTGGAGTAGTTTGTTTTTGCTTCTTCTACGTGGTGGCACTGTGGGCTAAACTGCAGAAGCCTGTGCTGCAGGGTCAGAAGACCAAGCAGTTGTAAGATCGAATCCACGCGACGGAGTGAGCTCCCGTCGCCTGTCCCAGCTCCCGCCAACCTAGCGGTTCGAAAGCATGCAAATGCGAGTAGATAAATAGGTACCATCTCGGTGGGAAGGTAAACAGCGTTCCGTGTCTAAATCACACTGGCCATGTGACCACAGAAAGATTGTCTTCGGACAAACGCTGGCTCTATGACTTGAAGAGCAGGATGAGCGCCGCCCCCTAGAGTCGGACACAACTGGACAAAAATTGTCAAGGGGAACCTTTACCTTTATCTTTACCTACCACATATTCTCCTTGAATTAAATGCCCACCTTGGCTTTATATGTGAGTAGGACAGACAGCCTTGTTGCATTGTCCATAATGTAGTTATCCTGGTCTGTCTAGTTTGGCTCTCAGTCGGGATGGGCACTCTGGGGTTCAGGATACTCTGCTTCACATTTATGTGGTTTCTGAATACCAGACCGAGCCCATATGCTATGACTTAACTGTGCTTACCACTTACTAAGCTTACCAATACTGTTATGAAATACAGCTTTGGAAATTGGTTGGATGTCTGATGCAGTCAAGCCATCTCTATTATCATTTATCATTCAATAAAATGGAAAATTGCTAGCCTTTAAAATGTTTGGGAGGGATCTGAATGAAACTATACCACTTTAGTATCTCAGCCTTACAACTTCTGTCTATAAACAGTTATAAGTTATGTGAAATGAAGCATGTACTGTAATTTTGTTTCGTTTTTTACTGCTGCTGTTAGAATTAACTCTTTGTTCTGGTAATAATTGCAGTTAGTTTCACTATGTAGGCAGGCAGGCAGGCAGGCAGGCAGGCAGGCAGGCAGGCAGGCAGGCAGGCAGGCAGGCAGGCAGGCACGCACGCACGCACGCACGCACGCACGCACGCACGCACGCACGCACGCACGCACGCACACACACACACACACACACACACACACACACCTGGATACAGTGTATGTAAATATATGGTTGTAAATCCTCCATCTTATAAACAAAGAACTATAAACCCTGGATTTTGTTTGTGTGTGTGTGTGTGTGTGTGTGTGTGTGTGTGTGTGTGTGTGTGTGTGTGTGTGTGTGTGTGTGTGTGAGAGAGAGAGAGAGAGAGAGAGAGAGAGAGAGAGAGAGCACAATTTTGCAGCTGTTATACAGATCCTTACAGAATTACAGATTCAGAATTATGTGAAGCAGAATAAAGACTAGAATTCAATGGTTGCATCTAGGGTTCGTTAAAAATAATTTCTGTATCTGATTATTAGGAACAGGAATATCATTTTCTATTATCCATAGTCCATTCTCTCAATTTTTTCTGCACTCTATTTTTATGGAAGATTTGACCAGTTTTATCCTAGAGATTTTTGATTTCCTTGACTTGGAATCTTGCGGGGAGGGGGAGGAGGGAAGATCTGCCTTGACAAGCTGCATAGCAAAGAAAATAGGCAACTTTAAACTTTATGTATCTGCATGCTTGCCCTGTATGAAAAACAAGCATGCAGGAAGTTGTCTGTTCAGACAGAACTTTACCCGCTGGATTCTTGTCACAGCATTTTTACTGCCAAAGAGGCAAGCCTCCATTCAGTAAAACTCTTGAGACATTGAGAACTGCCCTGAATAGCACCCCGAGCAAGGCTCTGGCATCACATCTGGTTCTGTCTGTCAAGTGTCTTTTGTGTCTAATCATAATTCCAGGCTCTAAGGCAGCAAGTAGATCCTTACATCTTGAAGGACGAATAAAATCTTCTTGTTCTACTGATATATAAGGCTATCCACATTCTTACAGTTCTTGTTAGCAGGCCCCATCTTACTTCTGCTTGTTCTTATGTCCTGGAATAGATCCCATCCCATCAACCTTTAACCAATACTGCAGTATATCCTTCCTTTATCATGTAATTACTGCTCCCCTATTCAGCATAATGAGGGATAGCAAAGCTCCCAATTTTTTTTCCTAGCAAAATGAAAACCTGGACAATGACAATAACTGATGAGCTATTATAGAAGAAGTTTCTTAGATAAAACAGAGAAACCTTGTAAGGCAATGAAACAGGAGAGGGAGAGGGGAATTTATTTTGATACTTATGCTTTGATAAAGAGAAATGTTTGGGAAAAGAGTTGGCTTTCTCATAATGGATCAACACCAGATGCATGCTGCGGCCATAAAGAGAAAACATCAGATTTCCAGAAGCAGATACAAGGTAACAAAATGCCTCTCGTCTAGGAATGTGCAGTATTTGCTAGAAATCTGTGTATATGCTTCATTTTTGTCTCGTTGTCTCCCTAACCTACATCAAATGTTCTGACTAAAGAACTTGTCAATTGAATAATAACTGGTGTACGTTTGAGTAGCCTAAGGAGTAGCCTCTAAGGGGGTAATTATCCTCTTCATTTTCCCTGTCCAGTATACTGTGGAATCTGGACAAACACTCGAGATAAGGTTCAACTGGTAAAGACCTAAAAGAGCTTTCTATCACGTTGATCTTTTGCAATCTGGTTTACAAGAAAGAGGTGAAATTCGAAATTAAATTGAATTATAATTCCCGAGTGACAGTCAGAACATTTTTTTCTTTGCCACATATTGAGGAATTGTTTAACTGCCATATAATTGTTCTAAAGACAAGTATGATTGTCACTGAAATATATGTCTTCATATCAGAAAACATGATTGTGCTAAATCAAATTTTAATCCTGATATATCAGAATTAGTGGGATTTATTTATCAGCACGAATATTAAGGCCCACTGAATTCAGTGGGACTACAGTTAGATTTAGGCCATAGGGTTTTATCAAACATTAAAAAAATCTAATACAATTGGAAATCAGCGTAATCATGCGATCATAACTAGCTAAGATCTAGCTGAGCTGACAGTGAGGTGGCAAAGCCTGTGTTGAATCCAAACGCCTCCTAGCTTAAGGATGTTGAAACATCCTATAATGACTTTGGCCTGACTTTATGGGGTATAGTGACTGTGAGTCTGGGATGAGATAAGTTTGGTTCCAGTGTAACTCAACTCCCTACATCTCCCCTTCTCTTTTGGCTCTTTTGCCAGGAGTTCTGAGATCAGCCAGCAGAAGGATAGTTGTGAAGAAGCAAGAAGCTTCTGACATTGCAATCCCACTACAGTCTTTGAGCTGATTGCACTGCAATACATGTACCAAACTTCCAGCATAATCTTATATATGTCTACTCAGAAATAAAGTATGTACAGTATAGGGTTATAAGCTTTAAAACCAATACCCAAGTTTCTTTCAAACATTTGTTGTGGTAGATAAAACAACTTGAATGAAAATTCCCTTTGATTCTTATTCTATTAATGCAAATTGAGCCACTTCATTAGTCCTATTTTTAAAAAAAAGACAATTCTGAATTTAAATATCAACATAAACTTAGATTTGATTTTTTAAACGTACTTTTAACATTATCATTATAGTTTTAGGTAAAATGTTTATGAATATTTTATCTCTTTTATTATAGGAAAATTTGCTTCCAAGAAAGCCCATGGGCATTCTACTTTTTAGGTGCAATTTCAGCAAAATTGTTCTTATTATCAGATGTATTGTCATTAAAGCAGTTGTGAGAGAGATTCTTCATAACATTTTTTCTTAGTCTTTTTGGCAAGATATTTCTTCTTCATACAATCACATTGTTATATATATTTGTAAAGTAGTTGAAGCCCTTTATATTAAATTGAAGGGACACTTTCTTTCAAGATAGAACAACATGTTGTGTGCATTATATTTTAGCATTCATAAACAACATTTAACATTTAACTGGACATGACTGCAGTGCTTACAAAGTTTTGTGGAAGATGAAGCCAGTTGAATGGTTTTAGAACTAGAGATGCTGGTCAGCTTTTGCTCAGTATTTTTGTGAGCCCAGAGTGTCAACCACTGGAAGCTGCCCACAGCAGTCTAGTGAGGTGCTGGTTGTGTGCAGCAATGCACAAAACCGTCATCTCATCAGATCATAAGGGATGGAATTCAGAACACAGTTATACCCAGTATGCTGGGATCGAGCTGTTGAAATCCTTGGTTAGGATGTTTTTGCAATATATGCTGCATAGAATCCTGGGATTTGCTGTAAATGAAATGAGTAGTAGCTGTCTTTATGTTTTAAAACCCTTTAGATTATGTAGTCTTGTATCCACTATCTGACCAGTGTGAAGTAGTGCTTTGGGAAATGTCTGTCTTCAACAATATCATAGGATCAAAAATCATCCGATGAGGAGGAGAATACTGGTGACAATGAAGAAGGGGAAGAGTATGATGAAAAAGAAGAAACAGATAAGAATGAGGCAGGAGAAGAAGTATTAGATGATAAAGACTACCAGGGATCTGAAAATGAGGGACAAAGTGGTAAATCAGTGCTATTCTGTGATAAATCTACTGCATTCATTTCTGGATTTCACTGTAAATGATATTATTATTTTAAAAATATCATTTAGTGATGTTTTAGATTGCATTGTCTCATTGATATTACCATTTCATATAGGGCTAGAAAGCTTTTATGCAGCCAGTTGATCCCAGACTGTAAAATGTCTACATTTAATGATATTTAATGACATCACAGGTTCAGAAATCATTTGATGAGGAAGAGGCCGATGATGTTGAAGAAGATGATGAAGAAGAGTACTATGATGAAAAGAAAGATGACATCAAGGAAGAACAGGATACAACGGAACAAAATGTTAATCAAATACCTGAATATGAGGGACAAAACATTAAATCATGTGGGAGTGAGGAAAAAAGTTATGTTCTTACTGAAACCATAAAGGTAAACCAATTGTTTATTTTTAGCATTGTATCTTGAGATCAGAAGTAATAAATCCACTGTACATTAATCATATGACACAATTAAGCCACACATTGGCTGAAATCCAGTAGTAAGTTGCAACTAGAGTAGGCCCATTCAATCAATGATTTGGCGAGTCGGCTTCTCTGTATGTTCTATTGATTTAGTGGGCCTACTGTAGTTGTGTCTTATTCCTGGATTTTAGCCATTGGATCTCAATATAATCATGGTAAAATGCTGAATCAAATCACACAGATCCAAAATTCAAGATGGGTAATGTAGGGATTGGCCAGTTATATTTGTTCGTTTAGCAGCATCAGTGTCATTGTAATTTACAGAGAACAATGTTACAGAGAATGTCCTTTCTCTAAGAAGTTTATAATCTAAAATTCAGCATAAGAGTGACAAAAGAAGAAAGAAGGGAGCAGTAAACTGAGAAGCAAGTTTCTATTGCTTTAGTTACATATTCTTTGATCAATTGTTGCTTACCTTATTAGGAGCTAGTGAGTTCTGAGGAGAGAGTTGAAGGAAGAAAAAAAATGTAGGGACTGCGTTCCCAATTTGGGCATTTTTCTGGACCCAGTTCTTTCTTGTCCAGATCTGCTTGTCACCCAGCTCTGTCCCTACCTAGATGAGGCTCCCTCAGGATGCTGGTGCAAGCACTGGTCATCTCATGGATCAACTGCAATGCTTTTTAAGTGGTGTTGCTGTTGGGTCTGATCCAGAGGCTACAGCGGGGTTCAGACCATAGCAGGCTGGTGACTGATGTGGGCAAATTTGACCACATCACTCCAGTTCTGGCTAGCCTTCATTGGTTATCCATTGTGGATCAGGTTGAAGGTTTTATCACAAATATATAAAGCCCTCTATAGTTTGGGACCACATTACCTGTCAGAGCATTTTTCCCGTGTCATCTGCCCAACCCACCAAATCCTCCCAGGCCAGGCTTCCTCTGTGTAGCCACCCCAAGAGAGGCCTGGAAATCTTCTACTAGGGATAGGATCTTCTTGGTGGTGACACCAAGGTTATGGAACCAACTCCCAGAGGAGATGTGCCTGGCCCCCTCCGTGTATTCATTGAGGGGGCAACTAAAAACACTACGCTTCAGGGAGGCCTTTCACACCGACTTCAGTTGAACTTCCTGCCTCCTGTATCCTCTTCAGACTGAGAACTGACTGTGTCGTTGGACTTTGTTTTATTATGGGTATGTTTTTAGTGTTTAGTGCTTTGTTTTGTTGTTGTTGTTTAGTTGTTAAGTCGTGTCCAACTCTTCGTGACCCCATGGACCAGAGCACGCCAGGTTCTCCTGTCTTCCACTGCCTCCCGGTGTTGGGTCAGATTCATGTTGGCCGCTTCAATGACACGTCTACAATGATCAGTGCCACTGTCCCCCCTCCGATGGCCTTGCAGGCAGGCATGGAATTAAAGCTTCCAGAAGTGCCGAAAGAACTGCCGCTCCTCTTCCTAGAGGAATCTGAAGAGTTACTGGTTTCCGAAGAACCCCAGTCTGATTTGGAACCAGTAACAGCAGGGCAGGCTTCACAGCCCCCACCCCTATCCCCAGAGTCATCTGTTCCCTCCTCCCAGACCAGCAGCACCCCTGGGACACAGAGTTCTTCCCAGGCCAGCAGTCAGGGGCAGGCAGTGGGTCCTCGTTTGGGCAAACATGGCAG